GAGTAGCAGGTTAGCAGCTATAGAAAGAAGTAGAATCAAGATTGTGCCATCCCACTAACTGGTTAAGGGATTTCAGGTAAATCTTGAATCTCTGAGATTCAATTTCCTCATTCATAAAATAAAAAGTTAGATGACTCTTCAATTATAAAATGCATTGTTTCTATAATTTGAACCCATGAAATGAGACAGTTTCAGGGGAGGCGTCATAAAGCCCATGGGATTTGGCAGTAAGGTGGTCATTTAAAATAATTATAATGTTAGAGTCTATGGGTTGCTTTTACTGCTGCTTTTTTGAAATTAAAAAGAAAAGCTTTTTATTTGGAAATAATTTTAAATTTATAGACGTTTTCAGGGAACACCTAAACACCCTTGACATCACCTATTGTTAATGCTTTGCTTGTTTTATTATGTTTTCTCTTCTCTCTCTCTCTATATATATTTCTCAACCATGCATACCTCCTAGTCCTTTACTCCTAAATACCACAGCATTTAGAGACACAACCATAGTACAGTTACCCACTTCAGTGATCTTAACATTGATAGTTCTATCTAATCAATCTACCATCTATTTTCCAATTAACCCAATAATGTGCTTTACAGAATTATTTTCCCCTCCAGTAAAGGTTCCAGTCTAATATTTCATATTGTATTTAGTTGTCATGGTTCTTTAGCTGGAATATGTTCATAGTCTTTGTCTTTCGTAGCACTGACATCTTTGAAGAATACAGCCACCACCCCCCATTAAAAAACAAAACAAGATCTAGAATATTCTTCATTTGGAATCTGATATTTCTTTATCAGATTCCTCATTCAACTTCATTTCCTCATTAGGTGCTGTGTCCTCTGGGAATCACATCTCAAGGCAAACAATGTGCATCTGTCCCTCATTCATGATGTTAATTTCGATTACCTGGTCAAGATTTTGTCCAATTTCTCTAGCGTATAATTAGTGTTTTTCCTCCTTGCAAGTAATAGGAAGTCTATAGGAAGAACTGTGAGATGATGCAAATATCCTGTTTCTCATCAAAATGTCTCCTTACATTTAACATCCATTGATGGTTTTTGTGTTACCCAATCTTTGCCACAATAGTTGCAAAATGGTGATTGTCCAACTCCAGCACTCCCTCTACACTTACCTGTTGGCATTCAATATTCCACTATAAACAAGAGTACCCTCGTCTTCTCCACTCATTTGATCCATTTATTACTGATATGGATTTATGAATTCCTGGGGCTTTTAATTTTAACCTTATTTTGAATGCAGGATATATAAGGAAACTACTGTGACGAATATTATCAACAAAGATCCTCAGTATGGAGAACAATGCCTACAATTTATAGAAAGAAAGTAGAATGCAATAATGATTCACTTATCTGGTAAACCCAAATACCCAAAATATTGAGGAAAACATGAAAGTAGGCAAATGGCCTTTCTATTAAGTAAATGTCCCCCACATATTGGAGTAGTTTTAGTATATTCTGAGGTTCTTTCCTCTTATTTTATACATACATTAAAAATATTCAAAGGAATTCAGGAACATAGTAGGCTACAATTATTTACTGTAGGGTGAAGGATACCAAGTACTTCTAAGCTCCCACACACATCTCGGTATTATCGCTTTTGAGAATACCTCTGGGTCATTAGGAATAGGTTAAACTATACTATGTTTTATTAGTTTAAGGCAGAGAAACTGGTGATATTTCAGGAAAAAAATCAATACACGTGGTTTAAATTCAATTGTTTCTAGGCTTTAAGATGAAAACCTCTGTTATCTAGAATATCTAATTTTGTTCAATCCCTCACTGCCCCTTCTTTGTCCTGTCAGATAAATGAGGCATTACCGAAATCATCTTTAAAGTTAATATTGAATATTATTAGTTCATGCAAACATTTATTTATGTACTAGCTGGTCCCCAAGACTTGTTCCGGGGAAATATTAGTCATCATTAAGTAAATACTTCCCTGCTGACCCATTCCCTGCATAGAGTTGCCCATGTGAGAAACAGCTCAATCTTAAATTAGGCCTTATGCCTCCTGACAGTTGGTACTCATATTTGAATGGACTGTTGATTATCTTTGTTCTTGGTATCTGCGGCATGTCTCACTTGATTGGGAATGGTGGCAGGCTCTCCTCGTACCTTGGTGTCAGATTTCTGGAGAATGTGTGTCTACCTCTTCAAAGTCCTCCCATATATCCTTTCCCTCAGCGTGAATTTTGGGTCTGCTATTTTGCCTAGATTTTAAATCAGAACATTGCAAACGTAACTGATAAATTTTTTCAAAATGTCCGGCCAATATATATATATATTTGAAAAAAGAGATTAATGGTTAGAGAAATAATAGATGTCTATGTGATTGCAGAAATTCTGTTGGTTGTAATAGAATTAGGTGTTATTGAAATAATAAGGCTTCTAACTATGCCAGTTTGATTTTGACAGCAGTAATCAGAGGAGTTGTTTGTTGATTTGGTTCTTGCTGTGGTCCGAAACTGCTTGTTCTGTATCTAAATGAGTTCTTTCGCTTACCCCTTGGAAATAATTTTAATGGATAGTAACAAAACTGTTACATAATGGTGATTCCTCTGAAACAATTTTAAGCATATTGAATTCTCATTGATTTCTATTTTATATAATTGCATTTCTCTTTTATACATTTGTACTTTTTGTTACACTAAGACTTTGTATATTTCTTGTCTCCTGGCAAAAGCAAATGGAATACATAAAGCAACTTACAGAATTTAACTGTGGTAAAAGATGCTCTGGTAAAGAAAATTTGCTGGTGGTCCTGTTTAAAACGTATAAAAAGCCATTGTTCCATTTGCATATCAATAAATGGGAGGGGACACTGGCTTTCTAAAATAATTCCCAAGCTATGACAAAAAAAAAAGATGTTGAGAAGAAACTTTTTTTCTGTATTTTTATTCGTAAATTCTTAATCTCACCAATTTCAGAAGTTTGAACTCAACACAACTCTAAAGGTTAATAAAACTATTATTTTGGAGGTTATCAACACGAGAAATAGATTTTGAGTAATTATTCCAAACTCAGAAATTCAGTACGTATAAGAATTCAGAATATCCCTGACCTACCTTCATGAGTCACATGCTTTTTTCTCTTCAAAATCCAAATGAAAACTCCACTGCTCTTACGGTAAACTGTGAAAATTATTGGTAGATGTAGGAACACAGCCTCATTTGTTTTTATGAAACCCTAATTCAAGTTTAAAGTAATTGCAAGACATTAATACTAGAATTCCCTGTTGTTCCTCAGTTTTATTTCTAAATATTTATTTCTTAAAATGGGATATATATGTGTGTGTATATGTAATTGTTGTATGTATTATTGTTGGCACACAGCCAACCACCTTTTCCTTAATCTCTTATTAACACTTAAAAAAGAATAAACATTTACCTAACTTGATAACTAGCAGGGGTTTTCCTCCATGTGCTAATTCTGTTTGCCTGTTGTTTCTTTGGGACTTGAAGCAATTAGCATCTATGGGAAAACTTCCTGTATACATAATACACTTCCCCCCTTTTAACCAATACTCTGTTTTCTTTTTTCTAAGTCTATTCTCATTTGAAAGTTGTTTTTTTTCCTTCTTTTGGTTTCTCTACTTCTCCCAGTGATTTCTTTATGATTCCTTTCAAGACTTTCTTTGAAAGCAAAATGCAATAAAATTGAAAAACCATAAACTTTGTCTATCCCTGTTTTTGTTTGTCAACTCACCTTTGGGTGTGGAGAGGGGGAGGGAAGGCTTTAAAGAAATAACCCTGTTTGAGGGAAGGGGTTGAAGACATTCTAGCTTCCCTAAGAGTAAAGGGCTAGGATACCAGGCGATCAAAGAAGGAAATAATTAGCATTCTTCAATATACAAGATTAATCATTTCTGCTTAGTGGTTATTAAAAGGAGGAAAGAAACCAAATGGGAACAATTTTGGTCCTTTCATGTTTTATACCCAATGCTAGTACGCAGTATTCCTTCCACAGCCTGCGGCACGTTGCCTAAAGAAGAGCTGCAGATCATCAAATAATCATTTCCAAATGGTCTAATGACGGCGTATATAAAGGTGGCTCACTTAAAACCTTCCATTTATAGTCACACTGCATCAAATGGTGCTAATTTTAAGTAGGCCACCCCATACAGTGCACCCTCCGAAACAACACTCTTCCACCATTTATACCGAATCTATTCCTTTTTCATTCACACAAAATATTTGATAATTCAGAATCTTGTTCATGCATTGACGTGAAAATACTTTTCACCTGGAACTCATCAATCTGAGACCCCGGGATGCCAAATTTCTGTCATTTGCTTATTAAGTCAAGGGCAGTCCTCTGCATAACACTTACAAAGGCCTACTTCTAACACTTCCCGAATCTTTATGAGAGTGTTGATCACCATAATTTATGGTCCTATGGCAGTGGGGTGGCTCTTCACATTTGGAGCCCTCTCACTTGCCCGCCGCGACTAATTTTAACTAAAACCACCGCTGGCGCGGGCAGAATATTTCATCTGGAAGTCAAGTGTTTCCAGACTTTGTTCCCCGCCCTTAAAGATGACAGCGACAGACACCAGGGTGGATTTCACCGCGGTGGACCCCGTGCCGGGAGGAGGTGGCCGGCTGCCGCGGGTGCCCCACCTGTCGGCCCTCCAACCCTTCCCCGCTCCTCCGTTGGGCGGGCAGCGGCCCCTCCCTCCCGCGAACGCGGGGCTGAAGGGCTGCGGCAAGCGGCGCGCGCCACGGACACCAGTCCCCCCGCGGCAGTTGGGCTTGTGGGGCAGAAGAAGGGCTGGCGTGGGGCAGAAGAACGGCTGGCGTGGCGCG